ATGTAAAAAGTTAGGATCAGTATTTAAACAATCAACAATTGTCTGATAAATACTCGCAAATCCCATTTGAAGAGGTGACGGTGTGGGTATGGAAGAAGAAACACCCACACCCACACCCTCGACCTGAGATAGTATCATCATAGCTGAATCGAAAGAAGATGATGATGATTCACCATGTATGGATGACGAGGCGACTGATCCTGAAGCGATGGATGAAGAGGCAGACCATGTGTCGTATAAACTCGAATACCAGAAAGACAAAACAATGGAACAATGGTCGACCATATTCGGATTATTGAACTTAGAGCCGATTTATGACAAGTAAATTCGTAAATTTATTCCGAACTTTCTGAAACGACTCTTATGCTTCGATCGTCAGTATTTCCCCTCCGAGGCAAAGTTGATGAAGTGTATAGAAATCTCCATCGATTGTGTGATGTATTGGATAGAAAGCCTCAGATTTGGCATGATCCAAATCCTCACGGACTCAGGATATCTGAATCAAACGAGCTTTTTGGTGATCTGAAAAACCTGTTCGTCGAAAGTGATGCCGATGAATAAGTTCGTCTGATGACGATTGCTCTCAAAGAATGAGGTCGACAAAAGAATCGAAAAATGGTGCGTATCCTATCCTCACTCTTTCCGATCTCTTCTCATTTCTTCAATCATATGTCACTAGAAACTAAGTTCATATGTCAGGCTTTAATCAAAGCAAAACCAGGTTCGACGATCGCGCGTTCTTCGAAAAAACAAAAGAATACTAGCTTATCCGCAATGTGCACGAAGAAATATTCCTTTATCTGATGCAACGATTGACGCTGTGATCAAGTTCTATTGCGAGGATGGTATCAATCGAATCTCATCCAATTCCAAAGACACGATTAAAATCAACGGACAACCAGTGGCAGTTCGTTTTTTGGGAATGACCATCTCGAATGCCTATCGAAGATTCAACGAACGATTTCCTGGAGCTGTTGCAAGAACGACCTTCACTGTTCTTCGAGCACAGGAAGTGAAAATTACAACACTACATGACACGTGCGTGTGTATTATTTACGAGAACATGGATCCGTTATTGAAGGTTTGTGTCAGTTGTATAGTGATTCGATTGTATCGTAATTTCATTACCGGCTTGGAACAACTACTATCAGAAATATACTAGTGTAGTTTCTTCATCAGCTAATAACAAAATCAGTATGAAAGATCTGATCACCCGAATGGTTTGTACGATCGAAAAAGAAGAGTGCTTCACTGGACAATGCGACGATTGCTCGACGGAAAACCTCACGGATATCCTTACTTAAAACAATGTTATGGATATGGATGACGAATGGTCATGGACTCTGTGGAAGAAAGTCAATAATAAACTCGATCTACGATAAATGATCGGTTCAATTGATTCTCTACTCACAGAAATTGAAGAAAGATGGCCCATATTCTTACTCCACCCGTACTGTAATCGTCAGTAACGTGAATATATCAAAAATTTACGTAGCCAATCAACAGACAACACTTTTATTGTGGCTCAGATCAATTTTCAATGAACTACACATTGATACGTCAGCGTCAAGCCATCTTGTTTAGAATCCATCTCCCCGTTGGACAAGAACAACGAAACTTGGCAATATTTAGTAACTATATGGAACACACAACAGCGTTTGTTTGCTGCGCACAAAAACCTCTCGTCCAATTCATCAAGAATAACTTTCCATTGGTAAAAAAGATCAACTACTTCAAGTAGAGCTTACCTTGTTATACATGGACGACTTCTAATAGATTTTATGTACTATCTCAACTCTCTTCTCTCTTTTAACGATGGTCCAAGTGCTCATTTTAAGAGCAATGCCAATATTTTGAACCTGATTCATCACACGGCCGACTTCGATTTGGAGGCTTGTTGGACGTTCACAGCGACAAACCATAACACAGAAGCTGATGACAGCATTGGTGCAGTACTGAAGTCCACTAGCAGACATGCTACACTTTCCAAGAATATTCTCTGGTCGACTGCAAAGAACATCTACGAGTTCTCACAGAAACAACAATTCGAAATAGCAATTCGAAACAGCAGAAAGATCTAACAAAGACTGTTCTGATGTTCACGTCTTCTATCTTAGAGCAGATCAGGTGGAAAAGGTCAAGAACAACTATCTGAAAGCTAGAAGCAGAAAACTTCGAACATCAAGTGAGAAAAACCTTTTCTTTTATTCCTTAATGGGCGTGTCACTTCAGGCACAATACAAGGGATCGGAACTATGCATGAATTCCAAGCGATTAGCGACACAACGGTTCAATATTGTTCGACATCTCGTTCAACACAGATCAAGACATTGTCATTCAAATAAAATTCTTTTTCATGTCCTTTCCTATCGATGAAATTTTGTGGAATAAAACTTGATGGTCTTTATATTTTTCCGGATTTTATGTGGTGATTTTAGGGAAAAGTTGATGGCTTCTACGGCCGAAACGGTTGATTCCGGAGTCCTCTGTACTAGATACTGCCTGATTTCGACATAGTTTCCGGTTGGTTGTATGGTCTCCCGTTGCGGGATATCAATTTGTTCTGTGCTTATTACGGTGACAGGATTTTCGTAGATTTCAAAGTTTCCGATACAATGACTTTTCGGCCCTGATTACTGTTTCCGCCTTCCGACTTCTTCCGGTCGGGTTCCGGCTTCATTCTGGTTGGAATGGACCGGAAAAAATAGCCTTTCCATCGGGCTCTGATCGTATCCGGAGGCTGGAATATTCGATCTGGGCAGTGATCGATTATATAAAGTTGACGCCCACGCATACATATCTAATAATGGCTACGCTAACTCATCAATAGCTTCGAAAGTAGAATAAAACAGAACAAAGAATCCTGGAGATAGATCGGAGATTACGATAACAGGTTTGCTCAATGGGAATGGCAGAATGCGCCGAGCACTGCATCGTCACATTTGATAATCGGATCTAGTAGTGCAAAATTCAGGCGGCTTCTAGTAAAATACTAATGTCAAAATACGAGCATTTTCAACTGTTTTCTGATCTGATTTGCAGAACATCGCAAAATACCGGATTTCTAAAGTCTCTCAAAAAACTAATATTTCAGATGCAGATCCGTAAAGTTCAATTAATCATAGTCGAATTTAGATGGAACTCGTAAAATGGCCAATTTATTTAAGTCATTTAAAAGTTGTAACAAAACAAAAATAAAAATCTAGTAAATAGAAATTCGACTATGTTCTGGATCAACTATATCGAATCCACCTCCAGAAAAAATTGGGATGAGATATACACCTTGTCCATCTTTGACACGAGTTATATAAAGTGTTTGTGTTTGTTGAAAGTTAGTGGAGTTGAAACTGAATCGTTTTGGTGTCCATGTGACGCAATCATTGCATTTTGATGCAGTTGATGGCTGCCATTCGATAGTTACTGTGTCATTGCCGTTAATATAATGCGGTGGAGTATTTAGCCAAAGTTGTACTGATGAAGTTTTATCCAATGAAATCACCAATATTTGAGGGTTGTAAAGAAGTCCAAGCGCAAGATCTGTACAATTATAAGCCCAATTTTGTGGAATTCTCTTGAATAGTCTGTCATCGGGTTTGCCAATAGATATGACTTTGTAATATATCGTTTCGTGCAATACTTCCCATCGTCGACGAAAAACTTGAGCTGTTCTAAGAGGTATATCTGTGTTTTTCTTAAAATAAATCTCTTGACAAGGAAACTTTTCACCAGTATCAATTTCACATATTTCATTTGCATACCAATAATCTTCATCTCCTGTATTATTGTTAGAATGAATCATTTCATATCGGAAATTGACAAAATTATCAATTTTAAATGAACTATCATTGAAATTCCAATGTGAAGGAAACGCACTGGATAGATAGTCACCATATTTCCAATAAGTTCCATAGTTACAACTATTTGACGGGAAGTTTAATTTCAATTGAACATAATATTTTGATTCTGGTGAATCAGGAATTGCAAATGGGAAATGCTGCATTGCGAATGAATATTCAGTTAGTGTTGGAGTTATAATGTATGATCTGTAAGCTTGTTGATTTAATTCATCGATTGCATAAATAGCTTTATTCTCATACGTAGAAAATGTTATTTGCGGAGGAAAATAGGGTTGAGCACATCGCACTCCATAATCGCTTAACATCAATGATACTAAGCATAGCAATGTTAACTTGGTTATCATATTTCTAAAAGGAAAAAATTTATTTTATAAAGCGAAAAATGAATATTTTTTATATGATAACACGATAACATAAATGAATGCATATTACGCCGTAAACTGAGAAAAAAAAATACGAATATATACGTCGTATTTATTTTAATAAGCGAAAATATAGTCAAATGAAAGAACGAAAAATATAATCGCTCGGTTTTCACTAGAAGACCATAATACGAACAGAAAGAAAAGAAAAGATACGTAAAATTTGAAAAAAATAGGTTATTGACATACATACGTAGTGTACTCACTTGTCGTCAAGTAGACTTTGGATTTTCATCTTTTTACTTTTCAATTTTGTTAAAACAATCTATAGCATTGACAAATTGAACAAGAGGCATCCTATAAAAAAAAATCTTGATTTTTCTGTAGAGCAATATTATTTCTCAATGTTCTCCATTTGCCCACAAGTCGAAGAGGAACGAAGATTTATTTTCGAAAATAATTGCCCGAAAAATATTCTTCTGATCAACGTTTGATCGTGTTGTAACTGGCAACAATTTGAAAAGGACGGAGGCGTATAAGAACACGAATCGACCCATCTTTATATTTTTTTAAAACTGTTAGCGCAATCCTTTGCGGGATTAAAAATGTGAAACACAATGGACCTATTGTAATTAATTAGATGGACATCGTTTTGTTCCATTTCTTCAAGATAGATTAGTAGCGTACCATTTATTTGATGCTTCAAAACTATAGTTTGTCTGTCACGATCTGTGATGGTTCCTGGAGTTCCTCTGTCACGGTCTGTGATGGTTCCTAGGGTTCCTCTGTCATGGTCTGTGATGGATCCAGAGGTTCTCTGTCACGGTCTGTGATGGGTATGGAATTTATCTGTCACAGTCTGTGTGGGGAGGGGGGGGGTACAAATTTCTGCCCCTAAACACTTCAACACTCCTTTCAGATCGTGTTTCACAAAATAGGTGATGTTGGAGCACTCTACTTAACCGAAGCCTTACGAAATAATAGAGTAAAATATTTTCTATGTTCTTACCAAGAGAATACATCCCATTCCGCGATGTTGAACATTCCGGAATCAGTTCCCGTCCCGGAATCAATTCCACCGATTCCGGAATCATTTACAACAGATCCTATCGATTCCAGAATCGCTCAGCATTGGCATCACTCTCATCTCCTGAGGCTTATAACTGCATCTAATTCCGGGTATCTCACGGATCCGGAATCGCAACCATTTGGAAGAAATTCCGCGGAATTCCTAGTGATTCCGCAATCGCTCAGCTTTGACATCACAGTCATCGGCTGAGGCTTACAACTGGATGTAATTCCGGGACGGAATTCCGGGTATCGTACGGATCCGGAATCGCAACGATTTGGAAGCAATTACGCGGAATTCCTAGTGATTCCGGAATCGCTCAGCCTTCGTATCACACTCATCGGCTGAGCGTTATAACTGTAGGGTGTGGCTGTGGTTGCGGGTGTGGGGTGTGGATGAGCGTGTGAGTGTGGGTGCGGATATCTTCTCATCATACACACACACACACACACACACACACACACACACACACACACACACACACACACACACACACACACACACACACACACACACACACACACACACACACACACACACACACACACACACACACACACTCATACCCACACACACCCACATCCGCACCCACACCCACATCCTTATCTGCTGGTGCTCGATATATATAACGTGAATAAGAAAAGAAAAGAAAATCGCTATCTGTCGCAGCTCTTATGATTTTATCTAAATGAAGAAGCAAACAAAATAGAAACGAAAAGAAAAGAAGATTTCGAGTATTTTCAACTGTAATAAGAAATAAAACAATTGTATCACGATCAACAAATTTTCAGATACAGGTAAGAACTGTCTTTAGAAAGATTTTATGCTTGTTTTAAAAAGGACATGTCCCCAAAAGGTCGTTTCTTTGTCCACAATTTCTTTTGATTTCTTTCAATTGTGAATATGTCAGGGAGTTATTAAGAATATTTTTCAACACTTAAAATTGGAAAAAACTATGTTATGATGCTGAAAAGTGCACATTATTGATCGATGGATTTCAGAATACCATTCTTTCTTCACATGAAAACATTAGATTTTATTCTCTAAAACATATCAATGCTACCAAAAATATTTGCTTTATTCATTTCAAGTCAATTGAGTTCGAAAAATGTCGATGCATTACTATAAAATTGGAAATAATCGAAAATGTTTTTAAAAATGGGTCTTAGCTTTTGCTTTGAAATAGAATCGAACCAAAGACTTAGCTACCTGATGCTCGGTCTGAGCAACAGTAAAACGCGTCGTGATAGCTTGTACTCACCACAGTACTTTTAAATTTCTAATACACTTTATGGTGTATCAATGAAATTTGTCTTGAATTGATTCTTTCTTAGCTTTTGCTTTGAAATTGAATCGAACCAAAGACTTAGCCATCTGATGATCTGTCTGAGCAACAGTGAAACGCATCGTGGTAGCTTGTACTCATAGCCAACTGATGAGACCCTTAAGCAAGGTTGAAACGCGTCTTGGTAGCTTCTATTCACACACCCTCACCCTCACACTCCACTCCCACCCTCAATCATGTTCACTGGCCAGTTTGTTGAGATTCTACAAAGTATTCTGAACATTAGAGTACAAAGTTACACTTTTTTCTTAACGTTTTATATACTATTTTGTAGCCCGTGAAATTCTCTATCGAATGGTATATAATAGTTGAAGATTTATCTGCTTATAAGAGGAAAATCTTTTTTTATCAAAGTCAGGATACGTCAATATTCCCATACAAAAACACAGGAAAAATCACATTTTTTTTCTATAACTCAGAAAGGACTAGGCCAATCATGCTCATCTTCGAACTCGACTGAGATATCGATAAGACAATTCTATGCATAAAATTTCATCGCAATTGGTTTATTTGTTCAAAAGTTATCGTGTAAACGGACGGTCGTTCGGACACATCGACTGATTCTAGAGTGTACTCACTTTTTGAGTGCACAAAAAGACAGCATTTCCTTGAATATGCATATTCTTGTCTTCATTCATGTGTGTGATTGCGTTAAATGTGTGAGCGCCTATCATGTTTCTCATGTCAAAGTAAGAGCGACAACATTTTCATACTTGTGATTCGAATATTTTTTACTTTTATTCTGCGCTATGTCTAGTTGCTACTTTGCCACTATTTAGTGGCAGAACGCAAGAGAAAAAAGACAGCATCCCATCCAATACGTATATCTTTGTCTTCATTCGTGCGTGCGTTTGCTTTAAGTTTGTGATCAACCATCGTATCTTTCATACCGAGGTAAGAATACAGTTAGTTTTATAACTTCCGACTCAAATATTTTTTATTTCTATTCTCCAAATAAATCTAGTTGGTAATTTTTCATTGATCAGTGCCTATTTCACACAACAGTCTATTTAATTTCATTTTGAATTCGAAATCAAAACGAAGCATCTAATTTCAAACCAAAATGAGAGTACTACGAATATTTAGAAGTAAATCTTTATCTGTATTCTTCATACTTCTTATTGTTATAGGATACGAGTATTTGCGAATATTTAGAATTATATGACCGTCTATACCTTATATACCACCTATTTTCATCGGTACAGGAATTTGTGACTATAGAAGATATCATAACTTTCAACATTCGTAAATACTGTTAATAACCATGAATACTCGTCATGCTCGAATCTTCTGAGACTAAGAAGCATATTGGTTTTACAAGATGATACATTTTGAGAGACTAGCAATACCTGCACCCTATAAACAGAGGATATAAAGAGTACATGTTATGGTGTATCTCTCAAGATTTTCAATCTTTTATTTTGATCTGAAATCGAGTTTCTTTTTTTTTAATTCAGGCTGAAATAAAACAGCTCATTGCATGTTTTATAGACCATTGCGCGGTCGACATGTATCACATGATCTTGGTCGGATTTGTGTCTAATTATATAGCTGTATATGAATTTCTTTCAGAAAAGGGTTTGTGAATCCGTAGGATGAGCGTTACTTTGTATAGATACCAGTGTCATCTATTAGCCATCGTGTGCTTAAAGGCTTGTGTCACGCATACTTTTGCACGGAGATTTACCTTTCCTATCGTAATAGTGTATAACGTACACAAAAAAAGTTTCTTCGGATTCTGAACCTCCTATACACACATTGGCTGGTAGAACAATGAGTAATGATGAGGGCGGTGTGTGTTCTAAAGTAGTACCACCCAAAAAAACAAATATAGATAACATTTATGGTTGGTGATTCATAACGTTGCGCAATGAATAAAAAGAGTGAGGTGTAATAGTGACATTCATTTTAACAACACACATCGATACTGAACACATTCCTTCTTACTCTACCTATCAAGCTTCCTCATCGTACTTTGGATAATTGTGATATACAGACAATTCTTCGTTCATTTTGTCTTGTCTGCAGAGAACTTTGTGAAGTTGCGACACTTACGATCGATTTGAACTCGACATATATCACAAGTTTTTCTAATGTTTTCTAATGTGTTTTTAATCAGTTTTCTCAAAAAGTATTGAAAAAGTGTTTTTTAATGAAAAGAGCGAAAAAGTAATTTTTTTCACAGAAATCACCAGAAAAATGGCTTTGAGTTTCAAATAAAATATCCATAACTCCTGAACGATTAAATCTAAAGTTTCGAACCTTGCGCAGTTTTATAGATCTTCGAGTGTGGCTCGAATATACACCTAAGAATCGAATATTGACTGTAGTCATCTAGTGAGGTACATTGATTTTCAAAATGGTTAGTTGAAATCTGTAAAGCAATCAGATCAGAAAACTTGTTTATACGATTCGATGCGTCTTCATCTCCTTTTTCTAAAGAAGAAAACCGCAACTGTAACAATCTTAACGATCCTCTTTTGTTTTGTAGATTGTTTTCAACAAACATGGGTTCCACCACAAGTAGAT